CCTGCTGCCTTTTTTTCAGTGCGGGGATGCACGGGTGCTTTTAATTAGTGCAGCTCACTAATTAAAGCACTTGGCACCATGTCCCAGAACATATGTAAAAATGACCAAGGAGATTTTATGAAAGAAACAGGCACACTGGGATTTTAAGTGTCTCCGCAATTAGGTGGCAGCTGTACTGGGCTTTTGAGGCTCTGAAATTATAGGAAGATGCTCAAGTTCCTTTGTGAATCTAACTCTCAGTACCTGTAAGTATTGATCTCACTGACCATAAAAACCTCCATTTATACAAACATAAGGGGGAAAAAAAGTTGGGGAAGGTCATTTATTAAAATAATGAAGGAACACTTGGTAATCATTACCAAATGTATATGCACACCCCCCTCACACACATACCATCTTTATACATATACAATCAATATATACACTCATACATTCATCATCATAATAAGAAATATGTTTCCCTGCCTTATAACACTTGTCACTTTCACTTGTTGGTATATCTTCAAATGATTATTCAAATGTTAACTTCCTAATCCCGCTGCAAAAGTAGATAGTGAGATAGGTAGAGAGCAAGTTAATGGCTAGTTAGATAATCACTGGGCACATCTACAAGTGCAAATAATCCAGGAGCAGTTTATTCATAGATTCATAGATGCTAGGGTTGGAAGGGACCTCGAAAGATTATCGAGTCCAGCAGCCCTGCCACAGGGGCAGGAAGTCAGCAGGGACCATAAGATCCCAGCAAGATAAATATCCAAATGTCTCTTGAAGGTGTTCAAAGTAGGTGCTTGAACCACCTCCAGTGGCAGTCTATTCCAAACCTTCGGGGCTCAGGCAGTAAAGAAGTTCTTCCTTATGTCCAGCCTGAACAGTCATGGAGGAGTTTGTGACTGTTGGTCCTTGTCATCCATTGGGGCACTCTGGTGAACAGATGTTCCCCCCAGATCCTGGTGAGGACCCCTGATAAACTTATAGGTGGCTACCAGATCACCCCTGAGCCTGTGCTTTTCCAGGCTGAAGAGTCCCTTGGTTCTCAGCCTGTCATCATAAGGTCTATTTTCCTGACCTCTAATCATGTGTGTGGCTTCTCTCTGCATGCTGTCAAGCTTCTCCACATCCTTTTTAAATTCTGGGGCCCAGAGCGGGACACAGTACTCCAGCTGCGGCCTCACCAAGGCCGAGTACAGTGGAAGAATGACGTCCTGGGATTTTCTTGAGAAGCATCTACAGATACAGGCCAGCATTTTGCTTGCTTTACTACCCGCAGCATCACAATGAAGGCTCATGTTCATCTTGTGGTCAATCATGACCCCCAAACCCCTTTCATCTGTAGTGTTAACCAGCGTAGCACTGCTGAGCCTATAAACATGCTGCAAGTATTTCCTCCCATGGTGGAGACCCTTACATTTTTCGGTGTTAAACACCATCAGGTTCTTGTCCGCCCAATTCCTGAGCCTGTTAAGGTCTGCCTGGATCACCCTCCTATCTTCCCTGACCAGGGACTCCACTGGTCACAACGTACCATGATGATTGACACCCGTCAACCACCACCCTCTGAGTCCCACCATGGAGCCAATTCCCCAGGCAGCGGATCGTGGTGGACCCAAGGCTGCAGTTGGCCAGTCTTGCCAAGAGGTGATCATGGGATACCAGATAGAAGGCTTTTTTAAAGTCAAGATATATGACATCAATCTCTTCTCCCTTGTCCAGGTGATAGGTCACCTGGTCGTTAAAGGAAATAAGATTGGTCAGTCACGATCTACCTGCAACAAACTCAGGATCTTGCCATCGGCCAGTCCGTTAAGAATGGACTCTTTGATAATATTTTCTAAGACCTTCCCCGGGATAGAGGTCAGGCTGATGGGCCTGTAGTTTGCCGGATCCATTTTCCTCCCTTTCTTGAATTGGCCTTCTTCAAATCACGTTAGCCTTCTTCCAATCTTTGGGCACTACACCAGAGCACCAGGAGCTCTCAAAGATCCATGCCAGGGGTGAGCTATGATGCTAGCCAGCTCCTTGAGTACCCTGAGGTATAAACCGTCAGGTCTGGCTGACTTGAAGGTATCCAGCCTCTCAAGGTGTTCCTTCACAAGGTCAGCATTGATGCAGGGTAAGGGATCTCCCTCACCTGGGCCTCCCTGTCCCGTAGTGGGCAGGGGTGTCCCATGGGACTGGTGAAAAATTGATGCAAAGTACCCATTTAGCAAGTTGGCTTTTTCCTGGGCATCAGTTGTCCCATCTGGTTTAGTAAACTGCTTTAGAGTAAACTCTCCTGGACATGTGTTTACATGTGCAGGGACATGGGAGAAGATTTGCTGTTCTTAGTAGCAGACTGGTCCTGCTCCCTGTGGCCCTGTAATGGGCCCCTGCAGCAGCCAGGGAGAGGTCTAGGCTTCCCCTGGGTGCTAGCCCAGGGACCAGGAGACAGCTGCCTCCTGGCAGGGGCTGGGACATTGCCCC